ATACATGTATATTATAGTCCAGTATAGGATTACTTTAAAAGTAGTGTAAACGAAAGGCACATCCGATAAAATATTTTTACGTTTTCACTCGAGAGCTTTCTCGTGTAAACAGGACCTTAGACATAATCACATATCCATCACTGGATTCGTCCTGGTTAACTATTTGCGCAAAATGCTCCTACAGTACTTTTCTTTCCTTTTATGTTTTCAATTCTCCTTTTCTAAATTTCTCTCTGATCTGTTTTGCCTCTATTGCTGCTTAAACTGCATAGCTTAATGAGAGCCTGCAAGTGTCTGATAAAAAAATGTATCTTTAAACATTAATATTTTCATCATTATGTTGGAAAACATTCTTATCAGAATCATCTCTGTTTAGCTTGTATATATTTTTAGAAAGCTATTAAATTAATAAATAATGTAATTTTTTTCTCTTGTGTTTTATATAATGACCACTTGGAGGTGATGGCTACAGTGGCCCAGTAGTGCACAACACAACAAAATTTATAACGATATACATTGTTGTTGAAAACAAATGTAAAAGAATGGTGCACGATCGTTGCGTTTTATTTATTAAATTGAAATCATTCATGATTTATTTCTCATTGGCCCGCGACCCACCACAATGAATTGGAATGTTATTTTTGTATTACTTGGGCCGCCTGATTATTCACAGTCTCCACAGATATAACAAATACAAAGTAAAACCATTGTAATCCTGATAATATTTCCATTTTTTTTAAAACGTAACTGTAATCTGATTTCTTTGTTTTTTGATGTAACTGTAACATATAACAGTTACCAGATTTTTGTATCCTGATTATGTAACACCGCTCGTTACATGTATTCCGTTACTCGCTAACACTGGTTATAATCTAAATATGAATGAAAATGTGCAGCTCAGTCTGAATTGCGGTGTTGTGTGTCCTCATTTCCCAGTGGAACCATCACCTCAGACTTGCAGCAATGTACTGTGTCTTGTGAGAAATCAAGGACAGGACTTCTGTAGCCAGGGTCCCTCTCCGGTCCACGATCAAGAGAGTGAGGGATCAGACACCTCCAGCTGCCTAGACAGTGATGTTACAGTGGACTATATCGAAGATTCTTCATCACCAGAGCATTGGACTCTATGTGCCACTCAAGATTTCTCTGGTTCCTAGAGCACTAGAGATGGTTCTGTGGATTGTCAAATATCTGATAAGTTTATTCAGTTAACATTTGACACTTAAATATTGGTTATTTTTTGGAAATTAGTTCTCTTTTGTTTTTCATATCATTTGGGCTGTATGCTATCTGTGATAATACAAGCTTTGGTGGAAGTGATGTCATCGCCTTAGTAGTCAATTACAAAATGGATAGACATTTGGTATATGTTCGAAGTGTTGCAGTTTTCCTTATGAATTTCCTGCTGCTATTTAGAATTTACAGGGAATGTCCTGCCAGAATTAAAAAATGTTATGCTAATTACATTTGTTTTGTTATGTGAAGTAAGCAGTGTTATATAATTTTGCAATTAAAATTTGTAATAGCAATAAAAATTATTTGTAAGCACACAATACAACAGTTTTAGGGGAAGATTATTTTTTGCTTTTTTTTTAGGGCTATCAACGGTAATGTTTCTATGATTTTGACATATCAAGTGAAGTGACGTGACGTAAAGGCCAAGTATACGGTAGTAACCTATACTAAGAATTTTTCCACTGCATTTAACCCATCCAAGTTACTGCAAACACACACACTCACACAAACACACTTGAAGTCACACTCCTGAAGCAGTCAGCAGCCATTCACCGTGGCACCCGGGGAGCAATTGGGGGTTAGGTGCCTTGCTTACAGTTTTTTTCGATTGCTAAACCACAGTGGAGCACAACTGGAGCTACATGTGCAAAACTCTAACTACAGTCTGCACAGCAGCAGTTCATGAGGATCAAACTCTAGATCGTTTTTCATTGCTTGAACACAGTTTTCAAAACTCTACACACTTATCCCATGACTTTAACCACAACCTGCACAACACTGTGGATTTACAGCACTTTGTTCAAATGCTAACACACTGTTGTCAAAACTGTGAACCACACATTTAAAACAGAATAAATTTCAGCCTTGTGCCTTTCACACACTGCTGATTTTCAAACAATTTCAGCTGAAAGGCTGGAAACTTGTGGCCTAATGCTTGAGAGAGGCAGGGTTACAGTATTACAGTATGTACTTTTAGTTTCTACCTTTTTTTCTCATTACTGTAATTCTGTAAAATACTACAGACTATTAAAGCAAACTGCTAATTCTCAATTGTTATGCTCTAAAAATGTAAAAATATCAAATGAAAGAATGTAACTGTTTTCTTTGAAAAAAATATTACTTTCTATGAAGTGTGAAATTGTTGAAACTGTAAAGATGAAAAGTTTGGATTTTCTGCCTTGGTGTTTGGTGCTGCTGTTTTTTCTCTCAGTGTGTTCTGAGTGACAGTGTGTGTTATCTCAGTGAGGGTTGTGCATGGTGTTGTGCACACTGAGCCTGTTTTGAACCTTGTGTTAAGAGTTGTGCTCAGGTGAACTGTTGACAATGCAGACTGTAGTTAGAGTTTTGCACATTTAGCTCCAGTCGTGCTCACTGTCGTTTAGCAATCGAAAAAAACTGTAAGTCGTTTCCTGCCTGTATTGAGAATCAAACCTGCAATCCATCTCGACCATTTTGGCCACAACACCTCTGATGTGGAAATACTGAAGAAATGAATGCTCACAGAATTGTATGTGGGCAGAGAAGGTTTATTTCATAACATCTTCCTCAACTCTTTCCACATATACGGTAAACCTTTAGAAATAGCCATCCACAAAGTAACTTCATTCAGGAGGAAGCGGCAGATGCTGCCATGACAATTCAGGGTTAAAATTGTGAGGTGCAGACGCTCAATTCTAATCTCTAAAGAATATAATCAAGCGAGAGAAGAGCTTTCCCACCACGACTTGTCACAGCGCATGCATAAAAGGCTCCCTCATGAGCTCACTCTGGGATATTTATCCCTAATATTTGAATTAAATTCACTGAGACTGTTGACATTTTCTTTTCCATGCATCGTTTTATTATATCCATGTCCATGTATGTTTCAAATCATATAAAACTGTGAAATCACCTTTGAACTCTTCTGTCTTGCCTGCACTCGAGACGGTGACATGAGCTCCATTGAAAGTCTTCTCCACTCAAAGTCCTATTGGTTGTCGCTCACAAAAATCACTTCTCATTTGCATAAAGTTGAAATTTCTGAACTTTTCTCGTGTCTCGTGTTGCTTGACACGCCCACATTCTGTCATCAACGGTCACTGTCGCTTGTGTTGCCGGAAGTCGTCAGCGCTCCATTGAAATGAATGGGATCTTGTCACTTTGTCGCTGTGTGTAGGGGGCTTTAAGGGATACTTCAGGATTTAGCAATAAGCTTTGTATTAGAATACCGTGGCCCTCACTAGTCCTGCTCATTACAGTAAACACGACTCACACTGTTCTCCTGCGGCCCTCACTCGTCCTGCTCACTACAGTAAACATGACTCGCGTTGTTCTCCCGCGGCCCTCACTCGTCCTGCTCGTTACAGTAAACACGACTCGCGCTGTTCTCCCGCGGCCCTCACTCGTCCTGCTCGCTACAGTAAACACGACTCGCGTCGTTCTCCCGCGGCCCTCACTCGTCCTGCTCGTTACAGTAAACGGCCCTCACTCGTCCTGCTCGCTACAGTAAACATGACTCGCGCTGTTCTCCCGCGGCCCTCACTCGTCCTGCTCGCTACAGTAAACACGACTCGCGTCGTTCTCCCGCGGCCCTCACTCGTCCTGCTCGCTACAGTAAACGGCCCTCACTCGTCCTGCTCGCTACAGTAAACATGACTCGCGCTGTTCTCCCGCGGCCCTCACTCGTCCTGCTCGCTACAGTAAACACGACTCGTGTCGTTCTCCCGCGGCCCTCACTCGTCCTGCTCGCTACAGTAAACGGCCCTCACTCGTCCTGCTATCTACAGTAAACATGACTTGCGTCGTTCTCCCGCGGCCCTCACTCATCCTGCTCGTTACAGTAAACACGACTCGCGTCGTTCTTCCGCGGCCCTCACTCGTCCTGCTCGCTACAGTAAACATGATTCTGGGAGTTGTTGTCTTTCATCCACAAAAGCCAAAAATGCATTTTCTGGCTTTTCTCAGTCTAGAAAGCTCCAAATTCAAAAATATTTGAACATTTCTTCTACATAAATGACCCATTATAAATACACATTCATCTTTCCAGAGGTGAAGTATCCCTTTAGGACAGGCACCCTTTTATACTCACGGGTGATCCATGTGATGTCATAGGGCTGCCATCTTCCAATCAATTGGCTTGTTTCCACTCATGCTTCATGTCTGGGGGGGGTTGCCATAGTGTCAACATCATGACGCAGCGTTGAGATTCCTTGAAAGGGAACCAGGCTGGTTACATCAGAAATGGCAGAGAAAATAGAGACTCATGTTGCGTTTTCTGTGAATTATTCATTCCAGTGTGTTTCGCTTTAAAACATGAGCTTTGTCATATTGTATGTCCAGATGATACGCAAACTACATTTCTGGGATGGATGAAGCAAACCATTAAGAACTGCGTGAGTCCGTTACATTGATGCGCATACATGGGGTCCTGTTCGGTATTGCAACTTGACTTAAATAAGTACTTTGCTGTTGCATTGTACACAAACTATACACTGAATGTCCTTTTTTTTTTTTAAAAAAAAAACACCTAAATTTAGCTTGAAAAAAGCTTGCAATACAGTTTTGTAAGAATCGCCCTTCAATCTTATAGTTTACTTTTCTGGATATAGCAAATGATGACAGAATGACCATGTTAAACAAGAAAAATTATGTATGCTTAATTTCATGATAGTTGTGAGGTTAATCGAACATAAGGGTGCGGTGAATCGCGATTAAATTTTTTTTTTTTTTTATTGACAGCCCTATTTTTTATTCTATCTTTATTTGTTTCTATGTATTATTCTTAGGGGAGGCTGGTGAAACTCTGATGAATGATGCCAATTCAGTAGCTGAGGAGCCAAGCTCAAGTTCTATCCATGACCACAGCTATTCAGTGAGTGGTTTCTTTTAAACCAAAGTCTATCATATAAATTTTGCATTTTAATCCAAAACTGATCGTCATTTTTATTTCACGGACTCTTTCAGATGACTGAAAATGGAAATCCAAGTCAGAGCACAATTGGAGATTCATATAATGTGTGCTCTGCTAAAGCCATGTCATCAGGAAAGAGGGTATTGAAAGGTTGTCTTGACTCTGCCATGGCTAAGAAACGGATCAAAAGAACAACATATAACAATCAAATACAAAATGAGTTTTTGGAGTACTTGCTCAACTTTGACCCGAAAGATGTTTTTGAAATTGTAAAGGATGTTGATCGCCCCTCACTTCAACAGAATGAATATGCAAGCAAAGATGAGCAGTCAGCTCTTGATGTTTACCAAAAGGTTCCATCTGAAACAGTGTTTATTACTTACATCAACAATGAAAGCAGTCAAGAATGTAGCATTTCTTTGCTGTCCCCTCATTTAAATGAACTAATTGACTCATGTTTACAAGGTAAATTCAAGGAGGACACTAATGTACAGTCATCAGGAGCAATAGTGGAATCACCATTACAGAGTGAGGAACTGTTTGACTCGAGCAGCTCTGCTTCACTGCCTCTGCTAATGGGCAAAATCCATAATCAAGGATTAACCTGCAGTCCAGAGTTTTCAGAAATAAATGAACCATTAGAGGAATTTGACACAACCAACAAACAACTGGCAGATACTAAAACATCAAAAGGACCATGTGCGCAATCAACCAGTCCTGCCATTGAGTCCATTTATGTGGATAGGACATCTGGCTGGTCAAAAAACTATGTAAACACACCACATAATGACTTGACGCAAATCAGCCTTCAAGAACTGCATTCTTCTAATAGACTGTTCCTAGAGAAGCCTCTAAATCAGAATGAAGAAACAGACGTGGTCACTGTTCAAAACCAGCAGGGGGTGGTAGAGATAACGGAGACAGCACTTAGCACCAGCCAAACTCAAATGAGTAAGAGGAGCTACACTGAAAATCCTGCCATGGAATGTGACACATTGATTTTAAATCCGATAGATCTCATCGTTGGACCCAAAGCAGAACCACATTTATCCTGCAGATGGGCAGTTAATGAGCTAGAGATTGAAGCCAATGCATGTGCTGTTTTACCATTTCTTTCCTGTGCCAGAGTAGATGTTGAACATCCTGAAAATTCTCACAGGGCTGATTTTATTGTTGAGAGTGATCCATTAAAAAATTCAGTTGATTCAGACTGCACTGTTGTGGAATGGTCCAACGCTACTGACATTCAGGATGTGGCCATCACATCAGTTCAGCCTGAAGTCTCTGGTTGTGAAGAGACGCATAGTGAAAAGGAAGCAGAGAACATGGATGGTACACCAGACACAGTGGCCTCAGTGAGTGTTTTAAGTTCGCTTCTTCCTGAAAATTTGTGCGCACATCCATCACTGGATAACACTGAAGAAAAAGCACATTTAAAACAGGATCCACACATAGCTTTTGAAATCAAGGGGCTTTTCAACACAGGTGAACAAACAAGACGGAAAAAGACGTCCAAATGGCAAAAAAAAAGACGGTCTAGAAAAAAAACGAATGCATTGAAAACAGGTGATTCCCTGGAGTTAATCATTTGTTACATCATCACAATTCAGAGCATGTTACTTTATATATTGTTATTTCTCAACAGTATCAAAGAAGGTCAAGCAGATTTCCCTTAATATTCTCCAAAAGAGAAATGGTTTAGGAGAGACTCGTCTTCACCGAGCATGCATAAGTGGAAACCTGCAACTGGTCAAAGACTTGATAGAAGCTGGGATAAATGTTAACATAACAGATAATGCAGGTGGGAAAATCCTTGCCTTGTTATGTCTTCATTATTACCTTTGAACTATTTAATGCTTACACGATGTCTTGGGTGGACAGGATGGACCGCACTTCATGAGGCCTGTTCTAGAGGTTTTGTAGATGTGGTGGAGCAGCTCTTGGAAGCAGGTGCTGATGTCACCAGCAGAGGGCTAGATGGATGTAACCCACTGCATGATGCTGTTCGATCAGGCACATATGAGGTTGCTTCTATATTTCTGTAATGATCCGTCACAAATTAAGTGATTCAATGATTCACTTTTTCTAGTGTGGTGGTTAAAGGGTAGTTGGCCCCCAAACATGTATTCTGTCATCATTTCTGCTTTCACACTGTTACGCATGTTTCCATAGAGTGAGCGTTGGCTGTTGAGCCATATAAAAGTAACCCATGCTTAACTCACGCAGTAGAATCTTCTGAAGCCAATATGACTACCTGCGTTGTAGCCAGAATTATGTAATTGCATCTGAACCTCTACTATTCCAGTATTATTCTCTACAGTTTTCAACCTGATCTCCGGTTAACCACCACCATTTCAGCACCTTATTCACACCTTCTGAGTGTACTAAAATGTGAATGCATTTTCAAAAGCAGTTAAAGTTCTGATCTTGATGTTTTATGCATAGATCGTGATGCTTCTCCTTCAGTTTGGCTCAAGCCCTCATGACAAGAATATGCTGGGACAGAGTGCAGTAGACCTCGCAGAACATGAAAGCGTCAAAGAGCTGCTTTTGACATTTAAAGGGCCTTTTCGTAAACCTGCCCGGACAACTGGCACTTCCAAACAAGGACCTCAGCTTTTGGCTGTAGAGCAGCCAGGTGAAAGTCTCTGCATAGAAGAAGCAGTCGAGCAACATGAGAGGACATCATCAACTTGTAAGTGTTTTCTCATTAGATTTTAGCACTGCTTTTCGTTGCTAGGACGTGTACTGTGCTAGACTAATTGAGACTTGTTACAGCACTTACTGTTGTCCTCGTGTTGGTCTGATCGCTTCTATTGTTTTTCTCATTTGTTAGTAGCATTGGATAAAAGCGTCTGGTAAATGATTAAATGTAAATGTAGAAGATACCGAGAAAGGGCAAAAATGGCTTATTTCTTAAAGAGATAGCTCACAGAAAAGTAAAAATTATGTCATCATTTACTTTCCCTAATGTTGTTCCAAATCTGTCTTTCTTCAGTGAAACAAAAAGTTTTTTGGAGTGTGTTTTGGTGTGCATGGATATGTTTAATACATGTGTAGTACAGTAAAATATATTTATTCACTGTTATCCTCAACAGATCAGTGTTTACAGTCAGCAGGAGCAAAGATTGATTTTAGTGGCAATAGGACGTTGAGCTGCCTTTTAAGAGATGGAATCATTCGACATGGGGAGGATAATTTAGAAATTACACTTAAGGTACAGTATTTCATAAATAATTTGTGCTGTTCAAGATGTTGCCAGGAGACCATTTCAAAGTTAGTTTGGTGACTTTTATTGGATTTTTAATGCTCTAATTAAAATGTAGGGTTGTAGCCATAAGGCCTCTCTTTTGGAAAATGGGTCAATCAGAGACGCTAGTGGGAGAGTCTTCCTACTTCCAGAACAATGGGTTGAATCAGTCCCGGAGAGTCAATCCATAGTTCCTGTTACCTCAGATTTTGCCTGGAAAAGGGTAAGCCTATAAGACAGCCGTTTAAAGTGTTAGGCTAATATTTTCAATTAGATTTCTGATGCATGACTAAAATTGTAAAGCAATCATAAGACAAAAAAACTGTCTTATGTGAATACTCTCACTAATGTGAGATTAGTACTATGGTTTAGTCGTGACCTTGAAACCATATCCGGGTTTTTTTACCACTTTTTTTTTTACTTATCTTGACAGGTTATGTATCAATCGAAGTCACTGTGGAATTACATTTCAAGTGATTTGAATAGTGAAAAAACACCCAAGAGATCAGTAGAGCCGCAGTGTTGCAACAACACCAGTAAACCAGAACCTGCTGTAAAAGGTTTGTCAGCAAAGTCACTCAATCATGGACCAGCCTCAATACTCTTAAAGGAAAGTAATGATTACAAAAAACATATGCAAGCAGGATCTGTGGCATGTTGTCAGTCAGAAACAAAAAAATGACAGAAATCTTTGTGGGTATCTGTGGTTTCAGGCTTTTGAGGGGTGTACAGTACACATGCAAAACACAGGGCTCGACATTAAGCCTTGACAGATTGTTACTTGTCTAGGAAACAAATAGTTACCTTTCGAGGGAACTCTACACTGCGTCGAGAATCGACACTTTGGGGACGCTCCCTAAGTGTGCGCCTCTGAAGTATGAATGAAACTAATCCAATCCTGATTGGTGTTGCGTCGTGACGTAACATGTGACGGCATACCCGGAAGTATAAAAGTGACGTTGTCACAACACACACTAGCTTTCGCTCTTCAGCAAGCGCTCTATGTTGAAAAACTGTCTGTCTTATTTGGTGTTGTTTGTCACTCAGTTTGAACTGGAAAAAATGGCCAGCGAGCAATTTAAAAAGATGTGTGCATCTCTGCCCTCGTTATGTCACAGGTGGGGACGCACATGCTTTGTGTGTAAATTGTTTGGGAGCGCAGCATGACTTGTGCAGACTGTAAAGCACTTCCTATTAGAGTGCTGCGCTCCCGGCTGGCGTGCTTTGATGAGCACGGTCAGGCTTGCGTTCCCTACGTTTCTGGTCCCGCGTCCGTTGAGGCGGCGCGGCGATTGAGATCGTGGGGTTCACAGCGGGATCTTGCAGACGAGAATGAGACTGCTGAGGCACTTTCTCATTCATCATCTGATGATCCCGTAGCCCCTGTGAGTGGCGCAGAAGTCCGTGCCGCGGCTTCTTCTGACCACGATCAGGTTCCGATACTCAGGCTCTCTGCTTCCGAGGAAGTAGACGTGCTCAGTATCGATACGGATGACCGTGAGTTAGGCGCGCCAGTTCACGGCCAAGCATATGAGGAACTGGTGAGGTTGTAACTCGTGCCGTGGCCAGACTGAACTTCAGCTGGCCACAAAATGGGCAGGGAACGCAAGTTTAAATAAATTGGATGAGCGTTTCATGCGGCACGGGTCACAGCCTCAGCGCCGGAGTTTGCCGTTTTTCCCCGATCTCCACTAAAAGATCATGAGAAAAAAGATCCGCTTCAGGGACTCGAAAGACACCCAAGGTCGGTCTCAAGGGGCTGGTTCCCTTAGTAGATTTTGCAGAATGGCTACACCTTCCAATATATCTATATGGGGCCTGAATATTTTTAAACAGGAAACGATGTATGTTGCCCGCCGTCAGCGACGCTTCGGGCCACATCGGTTTCCAGCGAAAATATTATAACGAAGCATCGTTTATGGTCAAAACGTCCATATCGACTACAGCCTGCCGGTATTCCGCTTCAGGAAGTCGAGAAAGATGCTCTCGAAAGAAAAAAGAGGAAAAAAAAAAAAAACAGAGGCCAGTCTCCAGAGGCTGGTACCCCTAGCATATTTTGTAGAGGCATGGTATCATCTTCCCAACATATCTGCATGGGTCCTACATATAATAGAATCAGGGTACAGACTGCAGCTTGCACACCGCCCCCCAAGTTCTCTGGGGTGGTACAGACTACAGTGGTCCCAGAGCAGGCTCAGGTGATGGAACAAGAAGTTCAAACTCTGCTGCTAAAGGAAGCCATAGAACGTGTTCTTCCTTCAGACAGGGGGTCCGCATTTTACAGCCGGTACTTTAAAGTTCCAAAGAAGGATTGGGGGTTAAGGCAATTCTAGATCTCGGGATTTTGTACCGATCTCTGAATAGGGAGGTGCAGGTTCGAACGGTTAACTCCAGTAAATCGTGAGTCAGATCAGAGGACTGATTTGTCACGATAGATCTAAAAGACGCCTATTTTCACTCCATCCTTCCATGTCACAGGAGATACCTGAGGTTCGCTTTCGAAGCTTACCAATATCGGGTTCTTCCGTTCGGCCTAGCACGCTCTCCCTGCACATTCACCAAATTAATGGATGTAGCCCTTGCTCCACTGAGACTTCAAGACATCCATATATTGATTTATCTTGACGACTGGCTCATTCTGGCTCAGTCTCGGGAAATGGCAGTTCGGCATCGAAATGTCGTCCTTGGCCACATTCTGAAATTGGGGTCGAGACTCAATGCAAAGAAGAGTGTGCTAGAACAACCCGGTCTCATCCCAAATCGTCATATAACTGACGTTTTGGGACGTCTTTTGACCATACGTCAATATTCGCCTTTTTAGGGCCCCCTTAAACGTCGGTAGATGAGGTTATGGGATCCTAACTCTACCCCATACCTAAACTTAACCCTAAACCTAACCCGTCACCTAACTGACGTTAAAGGTAAAGCGTCAGTTGTATGACGGCCCGGGATCGCCATCTACCGACGTTTAAGGGGGCCCTAAAAAGGCGGATATTGACGTATGGTCAAAATACGTCCCAAAACGTCAGTTATATGACTTTTTGGGATGAGACTGTGTTAGCTAGAACCATCCCAGTGTACGACATTTTTGGGAGTCATATGGAACTCGATTACGATGTAGGCACGCATGTCTCCCGCACGTATCGAGTCAATTTTGACGATGGTATCCAGGGTAAAGCTAGGCCAGGCCATCACTGTGAAGCAATTTCAAAGAATGCTGGGCCTCATGGCAGTGACATCCAACATCATTCCTTTGGGGCCTGCTACACATGAGGCCCCTTCAGTGGTGGTTAAAAACCAAGGGGTTTTCTCCCGAGGGGAATCCGCTTCGTATGATCAGAGTAACGCGCAGATGCCTTTGTTCTCTGAGAATATGGAAGAAACCTTGGGCCAGTGTTGGGAGTGTCATGTCGCCGGGAAACCGTTTCGACAGACGCCTCCCTCACTGGCTGGGGCGCGGTCATGGACGACCGTTTGCCAGGGGTCTATGGCAGGACCATCATCTTTCTTGGCATATAAACTGCCTAGAGATGATGGCTGTGTTCAGGGCTTTGAGGAGCTTCCTCCCAGACATCAAAGGTCACCACGTCCTAGTACGGTCAGTGGTAGCCTATCTGAACCGACAAGAGGGAATCAGATCGCGCCCTCTGTGCAGACTGACGCATCAGATTATCCTTTGGTCCCAAGGGAAAATACTCTCTATCAGAGCAATGTATATTCCGGGGGTTCAGAATCAGGGGGCAGACATCCTGGTGAGAAAACCATACTTAGCTCTAGGGCTCCATCCACCAGGAGATTATATGACCTCAAGTGGAATGTGTTTGTCACTTGGTGTAGAGAACTTGGGTTAAATCCAGTAAACTGCCCGGTGGCTTCAGTTCTGGGATTTCTCCAAGATCGTTTCTCTGAGGGTCTCTCCCCGTCCACGCTTAGGGTGTACGTGGCTGCCATTGCGGTTTTCCACGCACCGTTAAGTGATGGGCCTCTGGGGAGGCACCAGTTGGTCATTCGGTTCTCCTTGGTACTTGGAGGATGAGGCCGGCAGCCAGGTCCAGGGTTCCTGCCTGGGACCTGGCAATAGTTCTGGAGGGGTTATCCCTGCCCCCTTCGAACCTTTTAGAGTCGGCTTCGCCTAAGGACTTAACACTGAAAATGGCTTTTCTCTTAGCAATTACCTCACTTAAGAGGGTGGGAGATTTCCAAGCCCTGGCAGTAATGCCAGCTTGCTTGGAGTTTGCCCCTGGCAGAGTGAAGGCCTTTTTACACCCGAGTCCGGGCTACGTGCCTAAAGTTCCATCGAATACGGCTCATTCTATAGTCCCTCAGGCATTCCATCCTCCACCTCATGTGTCGGCGGAAGTGGAGAGGCTTCACTTGCTCTGTCCAGTCAGAGCTTGAGCTTGTACCTTGAGGGGTCCTCTTCTTGGAGAAGGTCGGAACAATTGGACTAGTATGTTCTGGGTCACCTAAGAGGGGGCTCCCGGCAACCAAACAAACTATTAGTAACTGGATCGTCCAGGCTATTACTGAGGCTTACAAGGTGCGCGGTTTGCCTTCACCTTTTACCTTATGGGCACAGTCAACTAGAGGCATGGCTTCCTCTAGGGCCCTTCTTTCGGGAGTACCTCTTCGGGAGATCTGCGAGGCAGCCGGCTGGGCTACCCCACATACTTTCATAAAATTTTACAGTCTCCACCTTCCCAGTACACCCGGTGCACAGGTGCTCAGTCCTTGCTGAGTGCCTAAACAGTTTCACTCCAGGACAGGCCTATTCGGTGCGTGGCCTAGTGGGCACTCGTTCCCCAAAGTGTCGATTCTCGACGCAGTGTAGAGTTCCCTCGAAAGGGAACGTCTCGGGTTATGACTATAACCCTTGTTCCCTGAGAAGGGAACGAGACACTGCGTCGTTCTGCCACGCCCCCTTTAGGCCTTGGAGCGTCTTGCTTCATCGCGAGGCTAGTGTGTGTTGTGACAACGTCACTTGTATACTTCCGGGTATGCCGTCACATGTTACGTCACGACGCAACACCAATCAGGATTGGATTAGTTTCATTCATACTTCAGAGGCGCACGCTTAGGGAGCGTCCCCAAAGTGTCGATTCTCGACGCAGTGTCTCGTTCCCTTCTCAGGGAACAAGGGTTATAATCATAACCCGAGACGTTTTTTTTAATGATGTAAACATTATTTATTTAAGCAAATTTCTTATCAGTGTTCTATCAGCTTTTACATATTAAAGGGATAGTTCACTTTGAAATTAATTTATTTATATGTTTTAGCTTACCTCAAGGGCATCCAATATGTACAGTAGGTGTCTTTGTTTCCACAGTATTTTCAATTTTGACATTTTTTGGTCAAACCGATGTTGTCTGTCAGTCATATAATGCAGTTTTAGGGGGTCCACCTCAAAGAGCATGCACAGAGAAGTCCAAATTAAACATGATTTAATGACTCGTAAATGTAAGTACACATTGATGGCCCAAGACACAAAACGAGCAGTTTGTGTGAGAAAACGAACAGTATTTATATAGTTTTTACCTCTTGTTAACAGCCATCGAACTGATCTGAATCAGATGTCCAACTGAACCGAACTGAACCATCTCCAGACGTTACGCCAGAAGTGATCTCTTGCGCGTCTACGTCACCAACATGACATCATGACTTTTGCGTAAACATACACGCCACTTTCGAGTCAAGTGGCGTGTTATCTCTAAACATTTTGAGCTATCCGTGTGTATGCGTGTATGTCTACGCCATTAACGTTCGCGTCATTCCGCGTGTCTGTACACGCCGTCAAATCTCCAGTCATAAATGCCATTAACCCCAGTGACGGTTAAGTTTAGGGATGGGGTTGAGGTAAGTCATATCTTTTTTTTTACCAAGGATGGTAAGGGAACAGTCATAAATGCCATTAACCCCAGTGACGGTTAAATTTAGGGACGGGGTTGAGGTAAGTCATATATTTATATAATGTTAAGTCAACGGCGTTCATAAACACGCTGAAAAGCGATTATGCGTCTTGATAGCACGCCAAAAATGGAAATACGAATTGGCGTGTCATTCACACGCTACTTCATGAGATCAGTCTGATGTCACGCATTGTTTACAGGGAGATTTCGGAAGTTTTACCTTTCACTAAACATATTTTGATATACGGGATTTCGATATATCTAAATATGTTTAGTGAAAGGTAAAACTCCCGAAATCTCTGTGTAAACAATGCGTGACGTAGACGTGCGAGAGATCACTTCCAGCGTAACGTCTGGGGACAGTTCGGTTCAGTTGGACATCTGATTCAGATCAGTTCGACGGCTGTTAACAAGAGGTAAAAACTATATATATATTGTTCGTTTTCTCACACAAACCGCTCGTTTCGTGTCTTTAAATCATGTTTAATTTTGACTTCTCTGTGCATGCTCTTTGAAGTGGACCCCCAAAACCTGCATTATATGACTGACAGACAAGAACGGTTTGACCTAAAAATATCAAAATTGAAAATACTGTGGAAACAAAGACACCTACATCGTGGATACCATTGAGGTAAGCTAAAACATATCAAAAATTAATTTCAAAGTGAACTATCCCTGGGTGGGGGGGGGGGGGGGGTTTCAGGCTTTTGAGGGGTGTACAGTACACATGCAAAACACAGGGCTCGACATTAAGCCTTGACAGATTGTTACTTGTCTAGGAAACAAATTGTTTTTTTAATGATGTAAACATTGTTTATTTAAGCAAATTTCTTATCAGTGTTCTATCAGCTTTTACATATTAAAGGGATAGTTCACTTTGAAATTAATTATATAGTAATTATATAGTAAAAGATATGCATATTTGTACAACTGCATTAAGTGGTGTTATCAGATTCTTTAAATATTTTTTGTTGTCATTACATTATACATGATTTGTCATATCCACTAAAGGAAAAAAAATTCACTTGCCCATTCAAAAAATCCACTTGTCCCGGACAAACGTTAATGTCCAGCTGAAATTTAACCCCTGGTTACTTGGTAACAGCATGCCATAAATGTTTTCTAAACTTAAAATACCTGTAGAAATATTAATGTGATTAATATATGTAGTTAATACTATTTTGTTCAATGAGGCATTCATTTTGTTCTGCAGAACCATCCAGAAATGACGTTGGCCTATTCATGAACATCAGATCGATTAATTTGGTCAGCGATGAGGAGTTTTTTCCAAGCCATATGACGAACAGATACTGGGACTTAGCACTGAGTGGGGAGTGGAGCTTTGATACTTAGTTGCTTGTGTAGCAGAGAACACAGTGTTATATAGAAAGTTTGTTTCAAACGTTTATAATGTGTAAAAGTGTTCTTTTTCACTGTTGAATATGTGTGTGAAACGTCTTTGTACACCGACCAGTTTCAATGATAAGCTGATGATCTTTATAATTAAATAAAAATACACAATAAGCTACCATTTCACTTTGTTATGTAGCCGGGTTAATCGAAACCCGTCTTATACGGGTTTCGATTATTTTAAATGTCTGTCTGTCTGTCTGTGTGTGCGTGCGCGCTTGCGAGCGATGCTTGGAAATGTTGTGTAACGATAGTTAACTTTTAAGACAAAGCCCCAGAGTGGGCGGACTGGACTTACTGTCGTTCACGCCTCAAATTGCCTTTCTTCAGTCACTGAAAGTGAAGTCATTCGGTGCCTGAATTTACTCATCTTAAACGGACTGCCGGTACGAGTTAGGCAATCTTAACAGCAGTCGTAAGTATCCTGATCTCGATTTTAAAGATCGATAAGACATTTAATTAATATTTTGATCACTTTTAATTTTGTTTTATTTACACTCAGAACGCGCAAATGTGTTGTCTAGTTATGCCGTATTTTATTTGTATTATATATCAAGTCATTCAATTGTTTGAATAGAGTTGCGGATATAACAAGTCAGCTTTTCTTGCGTTTCGGGCAGATTGATCTTTAATCTATGCGGCTCGTGCGATTTAAAGCTTTCCAATCAGCCTCAAGGTGGCAACTTTTGCGATGTTAGGTAACGAATTGATTTAGATACCGCAAGGCTTTTACAATTAGGCTTTATTTTATGCGTTCTTTGTCACACAGGTACATATATTGTAATGTTTGATGGCAGTGGCACAAAACAAAAGACCGGCAGTTTGCAAGGTAGGAACCAGTTAGGCTAAACTATGTAATACAACCAAGTATGAGACATCTCATGTCAGAAGATTAGCAGCTTTATTTCTAACTCTTATTTGAACTGCTTCTCCAACAGAATGAAAAGAAGATGTGCTATCTTACACTGGTTAAGATGCAAGTTCTATGTGTTTGTTGTGTCACTGTTTGTTGTGCTGAAGCTGGTTTACAGAACTATTTCAGTGGATGACAGTATCTACATTGAGCCCTATGGAGCTAAACAAAGATTACTCAGACCTCAGCCTCTGAATGGCATTAACTGCACAGCCATTTATGAACTGGAACCAGTGGAAATTGGGAAGTCGTTAGAGATAAGACGCAAAAATATTGTGGAAGTTGATGATAAGAGTATTGTTTCTTTCACTGCAGACTGCAAAAACTACATCGAAAAAAGGGGCTATAATGACATCTTTGTAACTGATGAGGAGTGCAGCTTTCCAATTGCATACTCTTTGGTGGTGCACAAGAACAGTGCAATGGTGGAAAGGATTCTTCGAGCCATTTACACACCTCAAAATATTTACTGCATTCATTATGACCAAAAGTCATCGGAAGATTTTATTGCAGCATTGAAGAATTTGGAGAAATGTTTTCCAAATGTCTTCATAGCATCTAAAATCGAGTCTGTTCAGTATGCACACATTACAAGACTTAATGCAGATCTCAACTGCCTTACAGACCTGCTGAGTTCACAGGTCAAATGGAAGTATGCTATCAATTTGTGTGGCCAAGACTTCCCGCTGAAGTCCAATTATGAGCTGGTGACTGAGCTCAGGAAACTGAATGGTGCGAACATGCTCGAATCAAGCAGGCCCAGTGAAGTGAAAAGGCAGCGGTTTCAGTTTCAGCATGAATTGAAAGATGTGTCATATGAATACCAGAAGATGCCCGTTAAAACCTCCAATCCTAAAGACCCACCGCCGCATGACATTGAGATGTTTGTTGGGAGTGCCTACTTTGTGTTGACACGGGATTTTGTGACGTACATTATGAACAATCAACTGGCGAAGGATTTTCTGCAGTGGTCAGCTGACACTTATTCTCCTGATGAGCACTTTTGGGCAACCATGGCTAGAGTGCCTGGAGTTCCTGGGGAGTTACCAAGATCTGAGCCAGACGTGTCAGATATAAAGAGTAGGACACGTTTGGTTAAATGGAAATATCTTGAAATCCGTTTGTATCCACAGTGCACTGGCGCACACAGACGCAGTGTCTGCATCTACGGTGCAGCAGAGCTCCGCTGGCTTCTGGAGGACGGCCACTGGTTTGCAAACAAGTTTGATCCCAAAGTTGACCCCGTCATTATTAAGTGTCTTGAAGAGAAACTTGAGGAGAAACAGCGTCAACAATGCCCCAAAAGGGTGTCTTAAAATGGGACTTTTCTTTTTTAGCTGTATTTTTGGTCAAAATATGTATGTCTGCTGCTGCACGTATGTCCGTTCAAAGAACCTGCTAATTGAAAGGTTAGCTGGACTTTCACCGAGCTATTCCTTTTCAATTTTCACCATACACCTATGCTAGGTCAGTTTGAAAGTGCCTTTCAGCTTCATCTTTTTTTTAAATCCGTCCAAAATATGAATTTATAGGTGCTTGAGCTATACGAAATATTTATATATTTAAATGTATTTAAACCAATACTGTCGGATGCATGAATACCCTCTCATTGTATTTTTTATTGAATTCTTCTATGGGGGAACACAGGGGCTTCAGCCAAAAAAGCATTGAAAGATGAAAACCATTTACCAGTATCTTGTGCGTCATATTTGGATTTTTAATAGTAATCTCAAAACAATATCTGTATCAAAACCAGAGTGATGCTGTGTCATTTGAAAATATCTGATGGTCTATATGTACATTCAATATTTAATGTTTCAAATAAAGCTATTTATCTATTGTAATTGAGTCACACCTGTGTACTGTCTATAAGTGATGGAAATATTAAGCAACTGTTCTGATATGTTGCGTAAGTGATGATTGAAGCTAAATTCTGGATGGCATACCATAATACTCTTATTTCTGTCTTTAGAATTTGTATATACACTTTCTGCGTTTTATATTATTAATTGTATATTACCAGTAGGTGGTGATTTGTGAAAAGTCTTACTTTATAGTTGAGTTATTTAATTCATTGAACCGATTTATTTAAAACAAAGATTAATTCAGGCATGAAACAACCAGCTGTGTTTCAGTGTTAATAACTCATACAGTCAAACTATTTGACTAATTCGGAAACGAGTGACGGTTTATTACACTGTGGTTAGTTTTTAACTATTGTTATTGGCAAAAATAGATAAAAGAAGTAACTTGCAATATTGTGTCTAAAACGTAAGTTGCTTGATATTTGCTTCTTGTTTATTGAACTGTTGCACAAACAGTTTTACACGCGCTGTCATGTTGCTGGCCTGAATATCATCATGTGCTATATGATATTCACAACAACACTCTTGCTTGTTTGATAGTATAACAATTCTTAATTATTCATAGTTAAAGTAGGCTTATGAAATTTGCTCTTGTTGAGTTTTATTTGCACTAGAAAGGTGTACCTTTTGAAAGGTCTGTTTAAATAAGCGATTTATACGATGAGATTAATCTTTATTGTCATTGTATAACTCAGCATATAATAAAATGTGTGAGCACTGCTCCTTTCGATGTTGACATAAAACAAACTAATAACCATACCAAAATACAACTAAACTAAATTGTTATTATGCACTGTAAAAATATATTGTTGGTTCAACTTATAAAAAGTAAGTTACCTAGTTGCCTTAAAATTCTGAGTTCATTTAAACAAAATAGATTTAGTTAAAGGGATTGTTCACCCCAAAATTAAAATTCTGTCAGTAATTACTCACCCTCATGTTGTTCTATTTATATATTTAGATATTTTTTGATTAAATCTGAGGGCTGGATCACTACTCCATTGGCTTCTTAAAGGGATACTCCACCATTTTTTTTTCATATTAAACTATGTTATTCCCTTAACTAAGATGAGTTGACACATACCTCTCTCGTGCGCACGTCTCAGTGCTTGCACTTAATCACTCTGTCTTGCGGCAAACTTTGTTAGCACTTAGCTTAGCATAGTTCATTCATTAGGATCCAAGCAGAGAAGCAACAAAACACCTCCACATTTTCCCTATTTAAACGAGTAGTGTAACTCGACCAAAAATGGTGACACAAAATAAATTGTTGCATGTAAAGTGGATAACTAAATGTATGGCGGAATACCATAGCAAGTGCTTGGGAGTTCGACTTGCCGCATATATATCCAATGCGTTCTCATCCTAGGGCGTCATATAGTGACACTTTCCAACACATGGCACCCTTTAGCGTCAATATAACACACACAGAGCTTTGTTCGGTTATGGTAGGTTTAGGTTTAGGGTTAGACCACTAGGAGGTGCCTTCTGGCCCATTTATATCTGTGTCTCATATTGACGCTAAAGGGTGCCATGTGCATTGGATGTAGACGAAATGTCAAAAGCGTCAGTATATGACACCTTGGGATGAGAAAGGGCTGATATATCTATGGACTCGGTGCAGTCATATCACTCTAGAGAGGGAGAGGATTTTTCAGGAGTGATGATATTACTGCGCCCAGTCAAAGTGCTCCCAAGTACTTACAATGGTATTCTGCCATAGTTTAATATGTAAAACAGTGGGATCGAAGGGCCGGCCCAGAAAAGTTAAAGACATCGTTAAAATAGTCCAAGTGACTACAGTGGCTCAATCTCAAATATTCATTTCCTTCTCTGTGGGCCGTGAGATTTCACGTAGTGAAACTGCGCAACGCTTCTGTGCTGTACGTCACATGTAGGCTCACGATTGGCCGACGCTGGTCATGTGTGTGATGACTGTTACATACAACCTAGCAGTTTCACGACGTGAGGAAGTTTTGTTTTTTCTGTAGTCACTTGGACTATTTTAACAATGTCTTTAAAAACTTTTATGGGTCGGCAAATTTCAATCCCTTAAGAAGCCTATGGAGGAGTGATCCAGCTCTCAGATTTAATCAAACACATCTTAATTTGTGTCCGAAGATGAACGACAGTTTTATGGGGTTGGTGCAACATGCATGAGGGAAGACCAATTTTTCATTTTGGGCTGAACTAACCCTTTAATACAATAAAGATGATTGGTTTAATAAATAGAAACTCAAAATATTATGTTATCTTAACCACATTAATTATCTAAGTCGATTTGACAAAAGATAAGAAGTTGTGATAACAAATCATGAAAATATTTTTTACAGTGATAGAGTGCATAGCTCAAAGTAACATATTTGGTACATGTTGGATAGGTACACAAAAGTGTAGATATTAGTCCCTTAATGGTACATTAGAACATTTTTAAATGGTACCAACCCTGTGAAAGCTTTTGTACCATTTTTTTAGAGGCTGTTGAATCCACCGTCTGTTGAGTCAAAGCTCATAGCAGTCTTTAAAGTGGAGATGCAAGACCAATAAGTAAGCTTTCATTTCTTGGCTCAACAAGTCAGTGGCTGGACAAAAGCACCTTAACTTTTCACTGCAACAAGACACCCAAGTGTACACACTGAATGAACTCCCAAAAGCCACTTTTTTATAACTGATATGTCCCTTAAGACATTTTAAAAACAGCCATATTTAAAGGTAGCTTGTAGAAACATTTCATTATTTTTGGAAGTTGGATGAATGTTGTCAAATACTAGAATAGACATTTTAGTAATTTTAACTCAAATCTTTTTAAACATTTTTATTTAAATCTGTTAGCGCCAATGTCCCGAGTTTGCCCTCTGCCAGTCTGTCTGTGTTTGTTACCAGGGGCTGGAAACAGAGCTCTTGAACCTACTTTTCAGAAAGGTTTCCTCTCTAAGACGTGATTGTACAGCATGTTTGCCCACTGAGGTAGCCAGCGAGGCTCTATTTCCTCAATCTAAATGCAGTACGACCTGCCCATAAGGCTCCGTCATAGTGCTGACAGTGTAAGTTAACGTACCCTGGAATGTAGATGCCTGCCTCACAGTTTTTTCTTATCTCTCAGACCCCACATTGATGAAAATAGTACAGAACACCCTCTGTGTAGATTTATTTACTTAATATAAGTTACTGCTCTGTAATCAGCAGTTTGACTTACCAGTTCATGGATCATGTACATGTTGTGAGTACTAAAAAATGCCACTTCACAAATGGTCTGGAACATTAGCCAGTGTCAATGTGAAAGTCTGCCATGAGCAAGTCGCTTCTAGATAAAGATAAAGGAAAAATGCCTCTGTGGTTTAGCCTCTGTGGTTTAAGAGAGAAATGAGGCCAGTTTGAAAAAAAAAAAAGTACATGGGAACGGACAACGCGTTCTCATCCTTTAACGTCATATAGAACGCTATATGACAAAACGGCGCTATACTACGCACATGGCACCCGTTATCGCAACGCATTCTCACCCCAAGGCGTCACCTTTGACCATGCTTCAATATTTGACGTTTTAGGCGCCCTTTAGCGTCACTTACATGACGCGATCCTACGGCGTCATCTAACTGACGCTAAAGGAAAGCGTCAGTTAGAGGACGCGGTTAGGTTTAGGTGTGGGGTGGGGGTAGGGTACACGCGATCCTAGGGCGTCATCTAACTGACGCTAAAGGGCGCCTAAAGCGTCAGATATTGAAGCATGTCCAAATTCTTCCCAAGGCGTCAGTTAGGTGACGCCTTGGGAGTGAGAATGGGCTGGTTATCGTTAATATAACACGTGCTGTGAGGGCTAAGTTTAGGTGTGGGGTAGGGTGTGCGTGTCATATTCACGCTAAAGGATTTATAACGTCTTGGGTTCGCGTGTTATATTAACGATAAAGGGTGCCATGTGCGTAGCGCCGTTTTTGACGTTAAAGGATGAGAACGGGCTGGAACGGATTGAAAACAGGATACAGACACCAACGACTCACCTACACAGAGATATAATATAAATTCCAGCAGGCTGGAGACAATGCCCCGGACATCAACTTGATCACATAGTCAACATGCAAATGTTAACCTATTCCAACATTTTATTGCGATGTCATGTTATGCACTAAAGTTCTGCAATGGCATGACTAAAAACACATATGAACTGATATAATGAACTTTCATACACAGGAAAACATCTGGCGTTGGTGGTATTGTGGATTCATTGTGAAACTAAAACACCATTTGCATGGTCTCATTTGTTAACTTTTGAGGCAAAGCAGACAAATGTGTTGTAACTGATTTGTATTTTTCTGGTTACACTTATAGGTGTCTTTAACTTCAAAATTGTTTGGTACATGTAACAATGTTGCCATTGATGTGTATGCATGGTGAGGGACAGGGTCAACAGTGTAATTGTAAATGTTACAGAAATTACAGCATTTCAGCAATTACATGTCGTCACATCTGGTTTGTGTTTAAGTTTAGTTTGAGTTGGTTTTGCACTGCACTCGGTGACACATGCAGGTATTTTTTAAATACAAATACAATGTAAAACATGTAATGTAATGTAGGACACTTAAGTGGGACCAATTTTCCTTTATTCCTAAGAAAACAACATGTTGCTATGGCCCTGTGCTTAATTTTCTGCATTTAAAACGTCACACTTTTAAACAATAGAATTGTTGGTTTATATGGGTGATTAATATGGGTTGTCAATGGGTGATTTATAATTTAGGCTGAATGTGTGTGTAAATGTTTCTAGTTTGTCTAAGGCAGCAACTGTACAAGACTTTTGCTCACACTATTTTCCACATTTTAAGTCTGGACAAATACAAGCTAGTTGAGGAAAATCAGAGCCAGTCAGCATATTTTGGCCAGTCTGGGTTGTCACATTTCCCAGAAATTCAGGATGGACACAGACTCCGCTTTTTTTTTAGCTTCAAAAGACTAAAAGTCTAATCTAAGAATATCAAACATGTTTTATATTTTGAGTTGATTTCAGAACACGTTGTTTTAATTTGTCTTGCATCTCCTAGCACTAAGTCGCGTGCTCTGTGTGAGTTTGTTGTGTTCAGAACGACTTGAAAGTCTGTGTTATTCCTCTGTAACCAAGTCAAGATGCCAAGTAAAGTTATGTATTCCAGTCTTTTTGTGTGTGTGTGAATCCAAGACTGATTTGACTGGTTCGGGATCAGTACATGCAAAACTTTTTAACTCATGTGTTCAGATGTTTTTAATATGACATTTTGAAAGCAATGGTGAACAAAAAGGAAACTGTTTCATGAAGCATTACCACACCATGAACCTAAGCAAGCCATTTCCTTTTTATGACGGGGTGGTGTAAAAAGCTGAATATTTCCACTCTCAAAGCATTTGCGTCACCACAGAAGAAATATCATCAGCCTTCATGGGTGATAATAAAAAAGACGGGCACTAGAGCTTAAGTACAGTTTCTAGAACCTGAGGGTAGAAAAGTCCAAAATGAGGGGTCATCCATTGTACCGATGTGCAAGCCTTCACTGAGACCACACCTCTGTGTTATTCGTGCTAGTGCTATTTAAGGATGTGACATTATTAGCACAACCTTGTGTAGGCTTCCTTACTGCCAGAAAGAATCTGGTGTGAAAACTCATTTAAGTTGACTGCAGTCAGTTTTTATCCTCTCTGTCTACACCAGCCCCTTAAAGTCCCACAAAACCATCTTAAAATTATTTTCTTAGTCGTTCAAAGCAAAGGACTATGTTCACAGAGTTGATAAAGCGAGTTGCTAAAACTAGGTATACGTAAGTAAAAAAATAAAAATAAATAGATTTTTGTCAATTCACAAGCTTAAGAAGACTTAAGCTGTTTTAACTGAAAGTAACTTGTGCTGACATAACCTTAAAATATATCAGTGCCATTGTTTTTTTCTCAAGATGCACACCAGTAATGTTTTTTTCTAAGGTGTGATTGTAAAACCGGCTATACGACGTCACACATTTTTTGTCACATACAGCAAACATCTTCTCACTATCTGCTAGCTGCCTGTCCCCTGAACACACTGTAAAAATGCGGTCTCAGTAGACAGGCTCCACAAAAGTCAACAAAAACAAACTGGGCAAACTCGCACCACAAAACATAACAACCAGTTTTGTATTACCCTATTAAAAAAAATAAAAGAATGAATAGGATATATTTGGGTCTTTTTCAAATTGGGTCTTTTTTGGTTCTTTACAATTTCCCCTAATTCTTTGGTGCTTTTTTTCCTTACTCAGGACATATTGAAGATACAAAATGAGTTGAGTTTGCTTCTGTTGCAATGTGTTCAACCTTCTTTTCATAAAATGACTAAATCTAAACCCATTCTCTTCTCCAAATGATACTCCACCCAAAAATGAAAATTCTGTCATCATTTATTTTAGGCTACTCACCGTCAGGTTGTTGCAAACCTGTATGAGTTTCTTTCTTCTGCTGAACACAACGGAAGATATTTCAGCCCATTCTCACTCCCAAGGCGTCACCTAACTGACGCCTTGGGAAGCATTTGGACATGCTTCAATATCTGACGCTTTAGGCGCCCTTTAGCGTCAGTTAGATGACGCCCTAGGATCGCATGTACCCTACCCCCACCCCACACCTAAACCTAACCGCGTCCTCTAAACAGACGCTTTCCTTTAGCGTCAGTTAGATGACGCCGTAGGATCGCGTCATGTAAGTGACGCTAAAGGGCGCCTAAAACGTCAAATATTGAAGCATGGTCAAAGGTGACGCCTTGGGGTGAGAACCCAGACAGCAAACTGACATTGAATCAACGTGGAAACGACGTCTCTCATGACATTGAAACAACGTTGATTTGCTCATCGAATTAACGTTGAACCAACGTCAGACGCGGCATTCTTCAAAGCTAAATGAAATCGAAAATTGGTTTGCTTTCATAACGTTGAAACAACGCGTTGATTTCAAGTTGATTTTCCGTTAGTTTTGAAAGAATGACGCGTCTGACGTTGGTTCAACGTTAATTCGATGAGCAAAACAATGTCAGATCAACGTTGTTTCGATGTCATATTTCCACGTTGATTCAATGTCAGTTTGCTATCTGGGAATGCGTTGGATATTTTGAAGAACGATTGGAACTTTGGCACCAATGACTTCCATTGTATTGTTTTTCTACTATGGAAGTCAATGGTGCCAAAACAACTGTTTGGTTCCAATCGTTCTTCATAATATCTTCCTTTGTGTTCAGCAGAAGAAAAACACTCAGACAGGTTAGCGAACCTGCATTCTTTATTCCCATTTCAGAAAGTTGGCAACCCTATCCTGTCCCTCCACCCACAAGAGACAGCTGTTATCACTTGACCAACTTACGCAAACTTGCTCGTCCTCCAAACTTTGCTAAACCACGCCCTCTAGCCACAAGGGCCTTGATATATATAGGCTCTTCACCGTGCTTACGCTGTGGTTGCAATGTCAGAGTGTGTTTATATGTACCTCTATTTCAGTCAAACTATAACAATAATTTGACTTTCAAAGTGTCATGTAAATGTTTTAGTCTGCCTGAAATAAGCCTACCGTTTCAGCTTTTGTGAAATCGGACCAACATATCTTGATAATGTGATTGTTACTTGGCTTTGTTCAGCATGTAAACACACTAATCAAACAGTTGCCCTCACTGCTTGCAGAAATGACACACAATGTGTATAATCTTTCACATCACATTATACCAAGCCCTTTATTGCATAGTGTTGCCATATGGCAACAATTACTTTATCTTAATTTTCTAAAAAGCTGTGGTGATATAAAATCTATTTTTCTACAGTTAGTTGTGCAAAAGGGGATTTTTACTTTGAAGGAAACACAATTTAAGAGGATATCCTGTTTCAGGATATCCTGTTTGCCAGTCCTTTGGGCTCATGGACATTGAAATGGAAACAACATCACTGTCTGACACTCCCCAAGATAGCCTTTTACTCCGAATATTGGAAAGTTTTCATCAAAAATTTTTTTAAAAAAAAATTGAAATCACTATCTGAGGTAAGTAAACTTTAGTTTTTTTAACATTAAATTCAGTTTTGATTTTTGATTAGATTTTTTTTGTAAAATGCTAAAATACATTTGTTGCCATATGGCAGCTACATGCAAATATGGAAATGTCCTGGTGCATTCAACCTAATGGAGTCCCATTGAGTTGAACTCTGAGACTATGTTTACAACTTTTGCTTATATTTTAAAGGCAAAAACATTATAATGAAATGAAGAAATGGTACCAAGGCATTGTATTACACATGCTTGTCATGACCCTGGTAAATGCGTGGCTACTTTACAGAAGAGACTGCCAGTCCCAGATGCCAGATATTGCCCATCTCACACTGTTGGACTTCAAAAGCAAAAGTGGCCTCATGCTTGTGCATAGAGCGTAAGGTGAGAAACAAGAGGAAGGGGAGACCTTCACAGACTGTTTCGGTAGGGAAAAATAAAAGAGGGCCACAACGCTTTGTCCTGCCAGATTCTGTCTGCAGAGACCGCACAGACCATTGTATATCTGTTCCGCACAGACCATTTTTTCATTTCAAGTAATAAAAACATGCAAAACATTTTCATTTCATGCATGGGTTAGGCCTGACAAAATCAATACAAAATAGAAGTTATGTAAAATCAAACTCTTCCCATGAACAAGATGTTTGAGTCTGTGCTCTTTGACCGACTCTGAACACTGTCATCATAATTATAATCACAGCTATAATCACGTCCATTGTGGGCCTGGTGATGGAGGCTCCAGTGTCAGTGACAGATGACCAGAGCCACGCTGACTGCAAGAGCTAGCAAGACAAGCCCCGTCACTCAGCATCATGCGTGGAGTCAGCCTGGCCAACCAACCGACCAAACTGCAACAAAGAGTCTATTTATTCTTCTTGCTCGTTCGCAGCACTCGCCAACCCTCCGGGCTAAGCTTGTGCACCCCAAGGACATTTGATTTTTTAATTAGATTGGAAAAAAGAACATGACAGCAATGAGCTCTACAGCTCTTCCTATTTATGATCTAATCAGAGTCATGAAAATACCACTTGGCAAGTTTGTATCAGGAAATATACTACCAGACTTTGAGCGAGTCCCTGTTGTAACATCCCGCCTAGTGCAGTAATATATTACACAAGATTTGAATGTATTGCCTTGAGTAAATATTGATACGTATTAGAACATGTTGAATTATATAATGTAGGCCTACATGCATTGTGTGAGAAAATGACATCTTCCTTTAGTCAAAACCAGCGAGTCATGACTCTGGAATTCAAGTGTTACTGGGAGCCTATTATTTAAATATGTTTTGTGCAATGAAATCCTAATATGAAAGGCAAGGCTAAAATAAAGTAATCATGAGTCAGTATTGAAACGCTTTAGATTATTGACTTATTCTTACTCATTTTGTGAGTCAATGACATCTCAATTGGGCAAACCTTGGCTGTGGATCATCTCTGGAAATTCAAGTATTACCAGCATTATTCAAAAGCTGTAAGTCAGTCTTGTTTGGATTGTGGAAAATGAGAATGCAGACTGCTTGCATGAGAGAAATTGTATGGAGCCTATTTGAGTCCACTGAACTTTGTTTGTCAAGCATTAAGACTGGCTTGACGACCTTTGGTTTGCGACAAACACGTCCTTTTTGAAAACACAATGTGATGGGCACAATGAGAGAACTTTAAATACCTGTCCTGGACAAACTAGAAGAACCTCGCACCTCACGTCACAGCTTGTGAAGGCCTATTCTTTAAGCAATGCCAATAATCTTCAAAGAAATGTGCCCTATCATGATCAACATGAGGGCACCACTGAAACCCAACACCTAACTCGCAGTCTTAGTGACACAAAGAGACAATTGTTGAGGCAGCGGATCATTTTCCGCCCTCATGTAATGGCTTCCTCTGCATTCTATAGGGTGGGCAAGCAGGTGGCGGAGTAATTAAAGAATATTGCAAGGTGGGCTTATCAATAAATTAAAATGGGGGGCAGAGTTTCTTTCAATTATTGATATGAAGTCTTATGTATCCTGACTCTTCTTCTGCATGTGGTTACAGGTCACTGACACCACAGAGGGTGATTGCCAGTGGGGGGAGAAGAGCAGACATAACCTGTGGCGACAGAGACATATAGGGGCTTCCTGCACAACTAGCGATGCTAGAAAAAGTTTGTAAAGAAATTAAGACATAAAAGTGGAGTGGGGTTAAAGTAAGCTTCCACTTTTTTTGCATTTTGCTTTGATCCAAGTGGAGAAGATAGAATATAAGGCAACTGCGATAGCTATCAGAACAAGAGTTTTTTTTTTATTTTTATTAAATGTATAACCGAGGCCTGAATGTTGGCCAAGCATCTAAAGCTGAAAAAAATATTGTACACTCCATAAAAAAAGTCTGTAAAAACAGGGCATAATGTAGGCTTCTGTGTTTTGAAGGAATTTTCCACGCTGACTTTTCACAGTTGTTACACATATCTTGAATTATGTCTCGCATTGTGTTTTCTCTTGTCTAGACAGGATTGGCAGTTGGTCTTTAAACCCACCCATTTATTATAAATATATATAGGGGAGATCAAGATGTAACATGGGTATGTTGCTGTATCTAATGTAGAATCCTGTTTGATCATGTTTTCACCCCGAGCTAAAATTCAAATATCATATTTGCATATTTTGTTAAAGTGAACACAGTGCAGCCAGACATACAATAGAAAGTTTGAATCTCAGGACAAGGTTATATTTAATAAATGCCAGGTCAGGGCTTTATAGTGTCAGGGCTATAAGAGTTATAACATTTTTGTTTTACTTTATAGCCTACATTTCTGTTGTTTGAAAGGTAGCCTATGTGTCTATACAGAAACTGACTCACAAAAATAAATAAATCCACCCGGAAAATGTCCAGGTTAAAGTGTAAAACAGCTTGACTTTCAGTCACACCGTGATCTAAAATGAATATTGCACGCCATCTAGTGTCAGGAAATGGAACAGCGCAAGCACACTAATAAAATGTATCATTAATGTTAAAAGATACATTGAAAATGAACACAAACAACAAGGAATCATTAATCAACTTTTGCATTTTTTTTTTTGCAGTGATAAATTACATAAAACATGTATTTTTAAAAAACTCTCATTTTAAAAACAATCTAATTCCATGCTCATCAAAAAGCTTGGACTCACACCTTTATTATAATTTATATGACAAAATAATGTACATATGGCAGGAACAACAACTCTTTGGAGATGAAACAATGTGGCTGAGATTTCTATAAAAGTAGCCTATTGTTTGCTGAGAAAAACCAAGTTGGGAAAAAAACAAGAAAGAAACTTATGGAGTTGGAAAACTGTTTGGTTCAGAGGTTGACCTTCCATCCTGAATCAGAGTAACGCAAAATGGAGTAACGTTTTGACTGGTATGAAAACAAGGCTGTGAGGGATGCACATTCATTTGTTCAGCTGATGATAGACCATATCAAAAACCAGGACACTCGGCCCAGCAAACAGATACTTAAATGATACTCGAAGTTTACTCAAAGATGCCTTATTAATTTCAATACGTTTAAAGTAGGCTATGCCTCCTTGTATGGATAGAAATTGATCTATTATCACAGAGGTTTCTCAACATGTTTTATTATGACAGGTTTCAAAAATAATGAATGAAATAATGATAGAAATAATGTCTCTTCTGTATTAAATTTAAAATAAATATATAAATAATATATAACTAAAAGAAATACCTCCAAATTGAACAAAAATAGCTATCACAAACTTACAAAAGCAAACTAACAAAATATAATTATATATTTAGTTGTCATCCTCTTTATCTTGTTTTTCTTCCTCATCCTCTTAGGGTGCCCATCTATTTCAACGCATTCTCACCCCAAAGCGTCACCTTTGACCATGCTTCAATATTTGACGTTTTAGGCGCCCTTTAGCGTCACTTACAGGACGCTATCCTACGGCGTCATCTAATTGACGCTAAAGGAAAGCGTCAGTTAGAGGACGCGGTTAGGTTTAGGTATGGGGTGGGGTAGGGTACACGCGATCCTAGGGCGTCATTTAACTGACGCTGAAGGGCGCCTAAAGCGTCAGATATTAAAGCATGGTCAAATGCTTCCCAAGGCAGTTAGGTGACGCCTTGGGGGTGAGAATGGGCTGCTTTCCCATTTTGAAAACCAGGACATTTTCATGTCCTGGGAAAACTAGCCTGGTAATACCAGACTCTGCTACTTCACTTTGCTTCGAGCGAAATGAAATTAGCGGAAGTAGGAAGTCTGACGTAGTCAGGCTATGGGAAAACAGGACTGCTGGTTACCCTAGCTGATGAAACATCTTTCCTAAAAAAACTAGACATGTAGACAAAAGCTCCACAAAGCTCCTCCCAAAGTTATAGTTGTGTGAAAATGACATGCGATCTAGGTTCAAAGTGTATGCCATTGAAAAGAATGGAAGTCCATCCCTTGCAATCTTGTTGTTTCCCAAGGTCTATTGTTGACATTTAAAGGACATAAATGAAGGTGGATACTAGCAAAGTCTGTCATTAGTGGTTGACGTGGTGGCATTCCTTTTGAAACTCTTACTAAAATGCATAGAGTGCCAGATCTGAGTGCAGTGTGGAGGACAGGTCTCTTGGGGGGATGTGTGAGATTACTGGGATCTTCATTTGGCAGAGGAAGAAAAAAAGATGACATAAGTAAAAGTCTCCTTTCTCTTACGGTATAATTGCCGTCTATGAAAAAGTGGTTATTATAACAATTATGAAAATCATTTTATTTGTCTGTAACCTTTGGCACTTTTTGACTTTTATTTTAGATTTCATGTCATTTGTATGTCTTGATATTGTTCATTGATTCTACTCAGATTGTTCTCTTTCAAACATTCACTGAGTAAGCCTCCCCAACTCAAGCAGAGCTCGACCTACTTGAAATGTGCCGGAGGGGTGCGGAAAAACTGTCCATTGACTGGTCAGCACAGTGGGCAGGCTGTGCAGCAGCAGCCATTGAACAGAGATCTCTATGATGCTAGGGACTGCCGCCACGTGTCCCAGTAATTACATGTAAACGTCCCTGCGTATGTTTCAGAGATGAAACCTTTCTAAGCCCTTTTCACAACGGGTTCCTGTAAAGGGTTTTCCAGGCTGGTTGCTAATAACACAGAGAAGTTTGCAATGTCAAATCCACCTCCTGCTGAGCGGTCAGTCGCACATCATCCTTAAGGCCATGTGTCCACCAAAACATTAGCCAGCTGAAAATGCTAGGTGCTCTGCTGAAAACGCCTAGCTGTGGGCACTTGTGTCACAAAACACACATGAACAGAAATCCAAAAGCAGTATGTTTAATAGCCTATAGGGTAATTCAAAATCGTAGTCTTCCAGACAGGGGTCAAAATCCAATAAACAAACCAAAAGATAAGCACCGAACAAGAACACAGATCTCAAGTGGTGTGACAATTAACAACGACTCCGTAACACTGACACTGACGGAATAATACACAGATCTAACAAAGAACTGACAAGGAACAGCTGGGTACAATGATTACGGGGAACAGCTGAGTGCAATGAACAGTGATATAAGCGACAGACAGAATGCTGCGATTAAAGTCAAATGTGAAAAACACTGAGAACGAGGACCTCTAATGACAACCCAGGGAAACACAACCAGACACTGTGACATAAGTTAACTCCCCCTCTACGGAGCGCGGCTACCATGCTCCACGACAACAACTACAACACAACAGTTCAGGAGGATCGAGGTGGAATGGTGGAGGATCATGGGGAGGGATGGTGGGCCAGGTTCATGAAGCCAGAATCAGACCCAGAAAGCGGCGATGAAGAGAGTCAAGCAGAACCTCCTCAAACACGGCTCTTACAAAACGTTTCTGAATGGTAATTTGCCTATATTTTTTTTTAACTTTATACATGTTTGTTTTACACAATAGCATCAAACTGGTTACTATACAAACAGCGTTGGTATTGGTTTACGTTCTTGATCAAATCGAAAAATAATGTCATAAAGTAAATATACATGAAAAATACATTTACAAAATTAGTACAAATTTAGGTCCAAAATGTTTGTACACGTTTGTCGTAGACACAAAATAGCATAACTAAGTGGCTATTGAGAATGAGGAGTTGACGTCATTTTATAGTGCCCCTCCCCTTTCCGCCATGTTGGTAGGATTTCCACGGCAAAACAGTATTGATTACTTGTGTTTTTAGCTCGGTAGAGGAGTTCCTCGCAATACCGCACTGTTTTACCATGCCTGGAAGTAACTGCTGCGTTAAAAACTCCTCCAGTAACTCACACGATACATATGGAAAACATAGGAATAATGGAATTAAGTTTTTGGGGTTACCGAAATTGACACAGCAGGGAGAGTCTGAT